CCCACTGGTCCCGATACCGTATCCCAGACAAAAAAGAGAGCGACACTTCGTCAACAGATTTGGGTCCAAGGGGCCCTTCTTGTTTGGGCCTAGTCCCACTGAGTCCCGATGAGTCCCAAGTAGGTCGTGACCAAGTCCCAACCAAGGAAAGTATTTCAAGGTCGTACTTTCTGCCTCTACCGTACTGAAAAACGAATTTCAACTTCAAGAGAGAACCTACGGATTACATCAATGCACAAATGAAAAGACGAAGCACTGTAGAAAGATATGGGTTTTCAAAGCAAGATACTTCATTTCTGCACCCATCAGGTTAGTAAGTAGTTCGCACACCAATGCACATAACCAAGACTTAGGAGTAGGAAAGAGACCCAAAAGTACCCCAACAAGACAAAAAATACCATGCACGCATACATGGGCAACCCTTAGGTGCACGACACTTACCTCAGTGGCCCGGACTCTGAGATGAAGTATAACTCACCCCCCTTCCTCATATGGTCTTCCTAACCCTCTTCGCTACCTCTACGCTAGCGTCCTATCATGTAGGAGGGTCTCACTTCCAACACCAAAGTGCAACGCCGGATCCCCTGCTGATGCTGAAGAAAAAAGTAGTAACTTGCAGTCCGTAGATGCAGAATGGCTACCTCCCTCAAGATCACCTACTTAAGGGAGGCCCTCAAGTCACCAAGTGTCTCCCTTAGGTCAGATTCCAGGTGTGAGTGCCTCTCACAATCACCTCTCTCAACTTGTCGCATGGAATCCTTTTGATGTGTCTCGCCACCACATACTTACTCTCAATCTACCTGGTCAGGTTCAATGCCGACCTAGCATGACCTAACCAGGTGGGGGCAGTTTCCCTAAGCCACGCCACCCCACTTCCCACTTTGGACCAACCCTAACCCTAAGTGGTTAGCCCTTAGCACTTAGGTTAGGGTTAGGGTGGATAAGTCAACTCTCACCAGCAAGTAGAATCCGCTCTGATACCAATGTTATGATCCTGGCCAATTTCGAAGTACACATTCATCAGATAGCACAATGTCGTCCAATTGTAGAAAGAAATGAATGAACTTGAGAGGAGAGAGAGGGTAAGAAGAAGAAGAAAGAAAAAAGAAGAAGATGATGTATATCATCATAGACAAATGATAATGCTCTTCTTCTTTGCCAAACACTCTCCTCCCCCTTTACTCCTCTCTTATTCACACAAGAAATAATAGTATAACATTGAATGGTTGAACCAGAATCAATGTTTGAATCCATCTTCTACTGCAGGTATCACTTGAGGTCCACCATAGCCATGGCCGCCTCCCTCACTCTTCACTGTCATAGGCCGAGGCTATGGCGGACTACTCGGGCCTTGCCCTGATGTCCAGGCCGCCATGCCTGACTCTGCCTCGAAGCTTCTTGGTGTAGCCCCGCCCCAACGGGGACCTTCCTGCTGCAGCGCCCACAAAGGTGATGAAGATGGCAGCCACCATAGCCAGGTAAGTACCTTTGGCGCTCCCCCTTCCTCCTGGTCCTCTTCCTGCTCCGTGTCCTTGCTCATTCCCCAGCTGCGCTGCTCAAGCTAGCGCTGCTCCAGCCAGCGCTCCAACTAGTGTGTCGCCAAAGTTGCACACCGACAATGGAAATATAGCAGCCTGCTTGCCTCTTGGGCGGTGACTTCCAGGCCGCTCGGCCTTCCAAGCAACCGGTATCTCCTCCCTTTCGGAGGGAAACATCATTGCAGACTTTGATATTGCCCATACAGCCCCTAGACTCAAACTGGTTGGACTGGTACCCGCCTAGACCTAGCCTACAACTACTGGGCCTAAAAAATGCCAACTTTTGTCTTCTTCTGCTCGGCCTCGAGTGCCCGGCACATCTACCTCTTCAGGGTGTGGTACCGGCCTACCTGCTACTTGAGTGTTTCCCCGCTGCTTCAAGTGTTGTGGGCCTCTTCCCCCGCGACTTGAGTGTTTTCCCCACTGCAATCCTCAGTGCCACGGCCACAGGTAAGTATCGGCCCTAAGGGCCCAACAAACGAACAAGTGCCCTTGCGGGTCACACACACACTCAAGCCAGCAAGCACTCAGACAGACATGCAGACCAGCAAGCGTGGACACACACAGACTTAGAGAACTTAGTAGCAAGCGGGAAACTCAGCAAGGCATTCAGTCCATGAGCAAAACTCAGAAATCAGCTGTGTGTCTCAGTCCGTGTTTGGTCGGGTCATCGCACACCGAATAAGGATTGGGAAGGAACAAAAAAACCTGGAGCCCTGTACAGCTGCGCCCCCAACAGGTTTGATTATTATGCATGGCGGGATACACGTTCCCAATTACCCTCAGCTACCCCAATTCACTTCACTTGAAGCTCCACACTCCTGCCTACTTTTGGGATTTCATCTTAATAGGGAATTAGGTATAACGACCAATCATATACTTGCCCTCTGCACACTCTACTTTTCCACCCCCTCACTTATTGCATTTAAGTAATCGACACAAAAAATCGGGTCAAGGCCTTCCAACCCTGAGTTGCATTCAGAGCTAGGTAAAGCAGCCAATCATATACTCTCACTTCTGCATGATCTACTCTTCAACCCCCTCACTTATTCCATCGAAGTAATCAACACAGAAAAACCGAGCCAAACCCTTCCAACCCAGAGTCGCATTCACGGCTTAGTTGACGTCTACCCCCTTCAATAAGGGTGGGTAGGGTTGAAGGACAAAAAGAAGTCGGGAGTCCATACCTGGTTGCTGCTCTACCCTCGCCTTCTTACCGCTGTTTTTGATGCAAAATCCTGACGTGGCTTTTTCGTGGCGGGCTTGCCTAGTCCGAATCCCTCACCACACCAGTCTCCCAGCGCGGGGTCCCTTGGGGAACGAGCTATCGTCCCCTCCGCCTGACTGTTTTTCTTGATGACCTCCCTATTTTTGGTTGTCTAGCACCCGCCTTTGGCCGACATGAAGACACAGATCTGATGTTGCGACTATTCACCTCCTGCGGGTCTTCACCTGATTCCGGAACCCCACCGTTTATGAGGGCTGCTCACCAACCCCACTTTCCCCGGTTCTCCTTCCCTTCGCGGGCCGCCCCTGTGCGCAATTCAGTTTCCCGTTGCTCACGCAGCGATGTCCTCCGCGACTCTTCCATGTCTGCAGCTTCGTGCAGGCGGCTGCTTCACGCTACCTCCGACACAAACCTGCTGCGCCATCCACACTAAGCGAGCGCTCCCAGCTTTGGGTTGACTGATCTCGGATAGAATTCTCGAATATAAGGGCATTTCCAATAGAACCCATATGTGTTGTATTGGTATACAAAGCATTCGAATTTAAAAAGAAGCCACTCCTGTATTCGAATAGAACATTGCCTTTTTTTTTTTTTTTAGGCTAGCGCATGCCCTTGTGCTCCCGGTCTTTGACATGCTGTGTGTTGCACGGCTCTCTCTCTCTCTCTCTCTCTCTCTCTCTCTCTC